AATATTTTGGCTGGATGATGGGAGAGAAAGCAGCAACATGAATTTCAGCAGGAATGAGATTGGGGTGAGTAGGGCATATCTAAGAAGCAGTAGCAGGCAGCCCACCAGCTGTACCCAGAGGGCCAACTACTGGACAGCTTGAGTAAGCTAGATGCCCTTGAAAACTAAATCTGTATTTCTGCTTTTCTTTGAACAGGAGAAATTCTTATTGCGATACTTTGCCTTCTTTTTATAGTTAGTGGAGAGAATAGCAGTCATATAACCCAAGTTACCCTAGGCTTTTAACTCATGAGTAGAACACTTGCCCAGGAAACAGAATGAAAGTTGGCAAAGCTAGACTAAAAAGTATCTTTTCCCTTCACCTTCTTTGGTTATCCTTCCAATTTTTCCATGTTAAAATTTCACATGGTCACCCCCTTGAACAAATCCTAATAGCCACTGATTTTGACTGGAATCATAGATCTGATGAAGCTAGAGAGATCATCTACACCAGCATCCTGCTTTTGTGAGGAACTGGATTTAACCTCCACTTTGATAAGAAACAGTCTTCTTTCAAAAGACTATATTGGACCATGGCAGAGTAACTGATATTGGAGTAACTCTCCTGCCAAAAAAAAAATGTATAAAAGCTTATTAGAATAGATAAAATAACTGTTTATAGGCATCGTAGAGCAACCAATGCAGTCAGTGATTGAGGGAACATGTTTCCTGAGAGAAAGGAAGCACGTGGAAGCAGGCTACATGCTTACTCTGGCTTTTTCCCTGAGGAAACTTTCCACTTCATAGTCCAATGCTGTGGAACCCTAGCAGAGAGCAGCAGTCTGACAGGGCTTAGAGTTTAGAGTTCGGAGCTATCAAAGTCTCTGGGATTTGACAGACAAAATCTCAGGAAAGAAAAAACCACAGGGAAGAAAGCAAAAAAATGTGTCCACAGTCTTCCCTTGAGGTGTTTGCCAAGTCTTAAGGTGCACGTGATCAGAGCAAGACTCCAAGAATCCCTGTGGAAAGCAACGGTTGGGAGTTTGATGAGCAGTGCAAATACTTCAGCCATGTGTAGTGCTGGCGAGGGAAAGGCCTGCCAAGGTAGAGGGGTCCCGGCAAATACCTCAGGCTTTACTTGAAATCCACAGACATGCCAAACCTTAAGAATAAGGGAAAGCTGAAACAAGCTAGCCCCAACACAACTTAAAACCAGCCTCTGACAGGGTTAAAGTGGTCTGACTGCACTCTCTATGCCTACCACAAGACTGTGTTACATTCTTAGGAGGAAGAAAATCTGGATCATTTAGAACCTCTATGGTTTTTGAACAGAATGTCTTCTATCCAATAAAAAATTAAGAAACATGCTAGAAATTGAAATCAAATAACCCAAATGAAGAGAAAAAACACAATAGAAAGATATCCACAGGTGATGCAGATATTGCAGTTATCAGTCAGGAGCTATGTTCAAGAAAATAAAAGAAAAGGAGAATTTCAACAAAGATATGAAATCTACTTTTTAAAGGTCAAATGGGAATTCTGAAAAATATAGAAAATGAAATTAAGAAGTCAGAAAAAAAAAGAAATTAAGAATTCAATATATGGGATTAATAGCAGTTTAGTCACCGAAGAAAAAGGGATAGAAGATTATTGAGCCAGGAGAAAAGTTAGTAGAAAACACCCAGATTGAAGCACAGAGAGAAAAAATACAAAAAAGAGAATAAGAGACATATGGGACATAGTAAAAACATTGTGAAATATATTTCACATGTATGTATATTTGAAGTCTCAGGACTGAGGAGAGTGTGACAGAATTAATATTTAAAAGAAATGCTGGCAAAGTTTTCTAAAATCAGTGAATGACATTAAACCACAGATTGAATAAGTTCTACAGTCCTTGGCAGGATAAATACAAAGAGCCACACCAAGGTACTGCATAGTTAAATTACTGTAAGGCAAAGACAGAGAAAAGCTTAAATGCAGTCAGAGATAAAAGGCATATTATTTTCAAAGGTACGTCAGTAAGACTGACAGATGATTTATCAGTAAAGATAGAAGACAGTGGAATTATATCTTGAATATTCTGAAAGAAAATAATTGCTAACCTAAAATTCTCTACCCAGCAAAAATATCTCCTTCCAAAATTAATTGGGTAAAATGAAGCTTTCAGACAAATAAAAACTGAGAGCATTTGTTATCAGCTGACCTACAGTGAAAGAAATAATAAGTTCTTCAAGCAGCAGGAAGATAATTTGAGATGGAAGCTCAGATATGGATAAAAGAAAGAAAGGGTAAATATATGGTAAATATAAGTAAAAATTTACTTTTAAAAATAATAATAATAATGTGGGATTTAAAATATATAGATAAAAATAGTTGATAATAATAATACAGCAGATGGGAGATGGTAAATGGAGGTTCTTTCATTGTATGATAAGTGATAGATTTGCTAATTTGAGCTATAATAAATCAATGATGCTTACTTTAATATTTAGGATGGCTACTAAAAGAATAACAGAAGACTAAATAATCAGCATCCTAATTAAGAAGAAGAACATGGAATAAAAATAAAAAATTTTTGATCAGTTCTACAGGTGAGAAAGGAAATCTAAAAGAACAAAGAACAGATAAAACAAATGGAACACAAATAGAAGGATTATACATTAACTTAGTGATATTAATTAAGTATAAATGGACTCTATAATTAAGAGACAAAGATTCTGGAATGGAATAAAATAGTAAAACCTAATTACATGTTGAGTATCCCTTATCCAAAATGCTTGGATCCAGAAGTGTTTCAGATTTTGGATTTTTTTTCAGATTTTAGAATATTTGCATCATACTTTACTGGTGAAGCATCTCAAATTTGAACATCTGAAATACTCAAAAGGTTTTGGATTTTGGAGCTTTTTTGATTTTTGGATTTGGGGTGCTTAATATGTGTATGTTTTTTATAAGAGACAAGCTTGGAAAAAGCTTTGAGGGAGGGCACAAATTTGAAAGTAAAGGTTTGGGAAATATATGTATACACACACACACACACACACACACACACACACATATATGGATATATAAAATACACGCACCGCTGTATATATACACATACATGCACACACAGGTAGACAAAAATCAATAAGGATATAGAAGATTTAAAAAACATTATACTCATGAACTACAGAATATACATGTTTAGGTGTATATAGATCATTTATAAAAATAAACAATGTGCTGGGCCATAAATCATGTTTAAATAGATTGCAAAGTATTGACATCAGATATATGTTCCCTGACCACAGTGCAATCAAAGTGTGATCAAAGTAGAAATCAGTTAACAGAAAGATAAATAGAAAAACCCAAAATGTTTGGAAATTAAACAGTATACTTCTAAATAGTCCATGAGTTATAGAAGACATCACAATGGAAATCAAAATTTTTTTTACCTGAATGAAATGAAATACATGAAACGGTGATGATATTTTACCTAAATGAAATAAAATATATGAAAATGATGTATAATGAAAATGATGTATAAATGTGTGGGCTACATTTAAAATGGTACATAGAATGAAACTTATAGCTCCTAATGCATATATTAGAAATGAAGAAAGGTCGAAATCAGTGATCTAAATGCCAATCTTAAGAAGTTAAAAGCAAGATTAATTAAACTCCTGCAAAATAGAAGAAAAGAAATAATAAAAAGTAAGAACAGAAATGAACAAAACAAAAAAAAAATGTGTGATGTAGAAAACCAAAAGTTGTTTTTTTGAAAAAGATTAATAAAACTGATGAAGCTGTAGTAAGACTAATCAAATACAAAAAGAAAATATGGATTTACAATATGAGGAATGAAAAGAGGTGTAGTACTGTAAATTTAACTATTTAGATGCAATAGCATATCCCGAAAAAAAGCCCCACTACTTATGAAACTGATACACAGAGAAAAATATGCATAATCTTATATCTGTGAAAGAATATGAATCCAGAATTTAAAACTTTCACACATTAAAGAAAAACACCTAGCCCAGATGACTTCTTTGATGAATTCCTCTAAAACCTTTCATGGAAGAAATAATACTGATCTTGCATAAGATTTTTCAAAGAATAGAAAAAGAGGTCACCATCAAACTGGTATTAACTGATCAACACATAAATGCACATATAAGAATAACATCTATTGGATGTTGGGCAGGGGGGAGGGGGGAGGGAGGAGGAGGGAGGAGGGGACGGGTATTTGCATACACAAAGAGTGCAATGCGTACCACCCGAAGGATGGACATATTTGAAACTCGGACTTGGGGGGGAGGGGGGGCAAGGGCAACATACGTAACCTAAACATCTATACCCCCATAATATGCTGAAATAAAAAAAAAAGAGGGAGCACTTTCTAACTCATTTTATAAGGCCAGTATAACCTTGATACCAAAACCTGATTTAGATATTACAGCTGTTGAGCCAAAGAAGTCAGACACAAAGGAGTAAATACTGTTTGATTCCATTAATGTGAAATTCAAAGGTGGGCACAATAGAAATCAGAATAATGGTTATTCTTAAGAGAGGGGAGATACTGACTGGGAAATAGCATGAGGCGCTCGAATGTTCTATAATATATACTTCATCTGGGTAGTAGTTGTAAGAATATGTGCATATGTAGAAATTCATTGAGCTGTACGTTTGAGATTTGTACACTTTAACATGTGCACTTTACCTTGTATGTTACATCTAAGGAAAAATACTGTAAACTTGCTTCGGTATCATACATTGGTAGTGTCATCATCACGGAGTTTCTCTTATATCTAAACTGAATCCAATGTGCATTGCACTTGCTAGCATTCTCTTTTGACTGCACTTGATGTATGCACACTTCAGATGGAGCTGGCTTGGACAGCAGGGGGCTTTTGCCCTAGGCACTCCCTTTTTGGGAATAAAGAAATTACCTAGGCTCAGAGTTGACAATGATAGAGCATCTAAGTCTTCCACTCTGTCTCACTTGCTCGCTTAAAAGAATGTTGTTTTCTTTATAGGCACGGTGGTTCTGGGAAGCATACTTCCAGTCAATTAAAGCCATTGCCCTGGCTACCCTGCAGATTATCAATGACCGGATCTATCCATACGCTGCCATCTCCTATGAAGAATGGAATGACCCTCCTGCTGTGGTAAGTGAATTCAAGTGCTAGCCATGTGAGACATGGTCCAGCCGTCAGGATGGAAGAAAAGAAAATGTACTACAGTTGTAAAGGTTATTTCAATTCTAGCTTTCTAAGACGAAAGTGTGCTTTTTATACTTGGGCCTGATAAAGGCAGTTTAATTTTGAAATGCTGACAAAAGTGAGAAACACTGAAGCAGCAGCTTCCAGTTTGTTTTAAATGTGCTTAGGAAGACAGTCTGTTTATTTATTGCAGAGATAAATGGGGAGGCATGGGTCTTGTTGGAAATCAAGGACTTCCTGACTTTTGCAGTTGTAGTGCTTAGAACTATTGAAAAATTTCTGTAAGCAGCTTAACAATAGCTTATATTTTGTGCACTTACTTTGCCAGGGACTGTGCTAAGTGCTTTACGTTTATTCCAATTAAAATTTCCAACACTGTAAGGGAAATAATAAACAAGAGTGATCTAGAGGCATTATGGATTGCTACAGTCACTTGCCCGAGACTGTGGCAGAGGCCTTTGGCTGTTCCTGAAAAGAGATGGAGTGGTCTGAAGCTGCTCGCAGGACTTCTTCCTTGCCTGAAGAAGCCACAAGGCACTTGTGTCATCGTAGGGATTGTGGAAGTGGCTTCCAGCCACACCTTCTTTCTCGCTGAACATGCGTAAAGCTCTGGAGCTGGCGATTATTGCTGCAAGTATACATGGCTGTCCAGCTTGCAAACCTCAAGGCTTTTATCACGAGAACTAGACTCTTCTCCATTCTTCATTCTAATTATCGTTCTCTTTCTGGCCAACCCTTCTTGTCTCCCGATTCTGCCTTCTCTAAATGTCAGTATGTGCTTATGGTAAAAACAACAACAAACATCTTTCTATTTTGCTTGAGGTGAGGTTTTCTCCTATCTCGTTGATCCATTGCTAAAGGGTAACCTTCCAGAATGTTTCTATTCATATATAACATAATGATATAATTTTAAAACACAAATAGGATCATACTATGCATATTTTTCTTCACCTTGCCTTTTTTACTCTAACAATAGATCGTGGACCTATTTCCATTTCTTTCTATATAGGTCCACTTCGGTTTTTTAGGATGGCTGTATAGTATTCCATTATTTGGGTATATTTTATGTAGTAGGTCTATTATTGATAGACTTTTAGACTTTCTTTGTTTTTCTATTTTCTAATGGTAATACAAGGGACATACTTTCATATATGTTTGCACATAAATGTGTGACTATATAGAATTAATTCCAGCTGAGAAATTGCCTAAAGAAAATACACATTTTAAATATTGATAGATATTAACAAATTGTCCTTTGAAAACACCATACCAATATATAGTTCCACAAATAACATTTTGTGTATTTTTGTTCTTCACGCCTTCATTAACCCTGAATACTTGAATTTTTGTTCATCTACTAGGTGAAAAATGATCTTTTGTGTATATTTTTCAAGTGGAAGGTTGATATCTTTGTCAGGCTTTCCCACATAATCTTGTTTGTATTTTTATTGGTATTGTATTGAATTTTTACATTGTTTTAGGCATTTATTTGTTCAGTAGGCATTTATTGATAGTAGGCATTTATTGAATGTCTGGTATGTTCTAAGCAGTATTCCTGGTTCTTTGACTGTATCAGTGAACAAAGCAGAAAAGGATCCATACATTTGGGGAGCTTACATTACAACGTAAGCTGTGCTGTCTGGAAGAAAGATTTGTCTTTCTGGTAGAATTTAAAAGTCTTCTTTACATTGGTCCTTTATGAGTCTCGATAAATTTTTTTCTTAGATTTTTAAATTTTTCTTATGCCCTAATACAGAATACTTTCTGACCTTAATAGTTTCTAACTGGTTATCATTTGTGTAAAGATACATTTTTACTTTTGTGTATTAATTTTGTAACTACTCTGTTATTGAATTATACAGTTTCCCTTTTTTAGTTAATTTTCTTATGTTTTCTAGGTATACAATCATATCTAAAAATGCTAATTTTGCTTGCCTTTTCCAATATTTGAACTTTTTTTCTTTTATATAATTGCATTGGCTAGTACTTCCAGAACAATGTTAAATGGTGATTTGCGTGTTAAAAGAGAAGTGTAGGTATTATCTAGTCAGAGAAAGGGAAAAAGTTAGGTTCCATCCAGAAGGAACCACAAATTCAAAGATACAGAGGGACAAGGGAGCTTGGTGGTTTAAGGAACATCAAGGAGTTCAGTGTGGCAGCAGTGAAGGAGGCTTGAGAGGGAGAGGCAGAGGATGAAGCCTGGGAAACACCTTGTATCTTACATAAGGTATTGGAATGTTATCTGTAGGTAATAGGTCATCACTGAAGCTTTCTAAACAGGGGTGCAATATGTTAAGACTGCATTTCGAGTTAGTCTGACATCAGCGTCGAGAATGGATTATGCACTGCAGTGGAACAAGACTGGAGGCAGTAGACTATTTCAGAAATCAGCTGAGAATTAATAGAGGACAAAGTTAAGTGATATCTGAGAGAATTGACTGTCCTAACTGGCAAATGAGGGAGAAGTTTAGGAAGACTGAGGTATATAGTTTAGTTTATCTAGATAGGGAATTTGTTTGCATGTGGGTCATGGGTGAAGATGGTAGTGGAGTCCAAACTCAGTCTAAACCGCAGGATCTTCCACACTCTAGCTTTCTAGCTTTCTTTCCTTCTGTTCCCTTTTGGGGAGTTCTAGGTTTCTGGCAGCACAACTCAATCCTTTCTATGTATGCTGCATGCTTTTCCTTCTCTGTGCATTTGTGAGTCTTGGTCCTTTCCTTGGCATGCCTTTCTTCCCATCAACTCCAAATGTCTACATTTTATCCGGGTTTCAGTGGCGTGCTCACATACCCCTTCCTCCTGGAGGTTTTCCCGACCCCCTTTTCCTCCTCATAACTATTAGAGCATGTTATCTTTATTCCTTTCCTAGCCCTCAACATGTATAAAAGTGTAATTTCCTGTGAAGTTTTAAGCATCTTAAGGGCATTTCTGATTTATCTTGGTATTCCCCTAGGAATACCTAGAACAGGAGGTCCGTGATATATACATAAAGGAAGGAAGGGAGGGAGGAAGACTGGGATCTCAGGACTTGAGCCATCCAAGCAAGACTCACTCACATGCTGATGTGACAGCCATTGTTTTATTTGACCCTCACCCTGCTGGGAAGGTAGGGAAAGTTAATAGGTTCTTTCTCATCTGTAAAGCAGTCATAATGAGACTCATAGTGCCTAATGACTTGTCTAAAGTCATGTTTGGCAAGTTATGTAAGCAAGCGAACCCAGGTCTTCTACCTGCAAGTTATCTCAAGTTGCCTATGGAATTATATGGGAGCCCTTGAGCCTCCTCTGAACATTACTACTGTTCCAAGCAGATGGTACAAGCTTGAGATGAAGAATATTGCGTCTGTTCCCATGCAGGAGGATCATAGAGGTGGGCTGGTTATGCCCCAGACTGGAAGTGCGGAGATAGTGAGACCTTTTCCTGTACCTATATCTAAAGCTCTAAGAGATGTTAATAAGAATAAAGGGTTGGGATTTTAGTTTTCTTTTATGAGAATATAGACTAAGAGAAAATAGAATATGAAATTTTGCAGTTTTGAAGTAGGTAAGTTTTAGTTTAGAACAAAATGGTCAAAGTACTGAATTCTTATCAATTTGGTAAAGAACTTAAGCATAACAGCATAAATCTAGACATACAACTAGAAAATGTATTCTATATTTTTTCTTTAACTCTTTCTTAAATAGTCCTTTTTAGGGATACTTTGGTATTTGCCACATTTCTGAGAGCTCAGGCGATGAGAGCCCTGATTTAAAGCAGTAGGTTATACATTCTGCGTTTTCAGTGAAAGCAACTGACAAGGGGCCTGAGGAGCAATGATTTATTTACAGTTTAGTTCTCCCCTCCCCTTCAGAAATATTTAACCTACTCTAGATGAGATTACTATGAGCCCAACCTGCAGGGGAGTCTCTTCTCTAGATTCCATCAAATTTATAATGTCAGACACCCCAAGGTAAGAGTAGCTATGGATCATGGTCAGTAAATCAAGGAATGGTCTGGGTTTTTCAAAGATAGGCCGCTGTCAGGGCCTCTAGCCATGCACTGAACTTGCTCAGGCTGGAGAGCAAGAGGTGAGAGTCGAGAGTCATATTTTGGCCAGATGCAACTGCCTTAATTTAGCAGAGAAAAGGTCTATGTGTGTGAATGATGAAGACAGTGAGGGCTGGCCTTGCAGAATATTCATGTCACTAGGTGCTTTGCGATTCTTACCTGTAAAAATGAGGCTGATTATATTATCCACATTGTGCCACACCCTCAAAACTTGAAAAAGTTGGACATAGTAATTCTTGAATATAACTTAAAGTAGCAGATCTCTCTGGATGGGGGAGATTGGCATTTTGTTTTGAATCTTCTCTGTGAAAGGAATTTCTCACCAAGTTAGGGCTCTATATAAGGGAAGACTGCATGGTTTCATCATTAATTTTCTTAGCTCCTCATGTCAAGGCTGCCTAAATATTTTACCTAGTTTGTCTCTCCATGCTTTTATTTTTCTCCCCTTTTTGCACATATCAGCAAATCTTTATCATCTTCCTACATACTCTGTCCTATATCACTTCTAATTATAGTGCCATTTCTGGCCTTGCCTCTTGGCAGACCTTCATCCCTACCTCTGGGACTAGCCTCTGTAGCTGGGGACCTCCTCGAACACTCTCTCCCTTGTCTTACCTTTGGTTCTCTGACAGATATGAACATATGCAGGAGGACGGAGACTGAGACAAGTGAGCTTTAAACTGTCAGTTTTGGATTTCTGGCCTGTGCCCTCAAAACCATATCCTCTCAGTGACAATTTTTTAAAAACTGAACACAATATAGTCTTAAAATTATGTAGCGTATAATATTTTCCCATGTTATTTTTCTACAGTGTGATTTGAAAGATTATACCCCATTTTATCAATATGTTATAATTTTATTACTCTTTTGATAGATACTTTTTTCGAAGTTTGCTATCA